GTTGTAATTCTTTCCTCTTCAGGAGGCTCGCGTGAATCATATATGCTGTGTAGTAATGGGTAATGACTGAATAGAACGGGACACGGGTCAGCTTAACAGGGTGTTATAATGACAAAGGGGAACATTAGCTAAGGAAATAAACTCCCTGAATCTTGGCCAAACACGCTTATTTAATCCAGCAGAGCCAAAAAAAACACCCACCTGATGACACTGAATATGCAATTAGATGGATATTACAAAACATGTTTCACTTGTTGACCCTCGCTGTCACGTAAAGGCTCAAGGAAGCGCCTCGTCCGTTGATCTAAATATACACCCTTGACTCTTCCGCTGAGTGAAGACCGTCGCCTGCTGCATGGGTGGACATGTAGGCTTTCCTAGGAATGACAGGGTCTGTTACAGAGGAACCCCACCCTCGCTTTCTCCGGCATGCCAACACAGAGGAGAGTGGGCAGCGCTGAGACGGCAGCCTGCCGTGGGCACGGCCAGGCTTAAAGCTGCCCTGTCGTCATCAGAGGCTTGCAGAAAAGAACGCTGAGATTCACCGAAAAAAAAAAAGAGGAGGGGGATCGTTGCATTTAAATCCTCTCTCAACGCCCCCACATGTTTTAGCAAAGCATAAAAATCATTCACAGAGAGAGAGAAAGCCAGAAAGAAAAAGATAGAGGGAAATAGAGAGGAAACAGCTATTAGCAGCAGTAAGCAAGCTCAAGAGATCATAGTGAGGCAGCTCTAATCGCAGTAATGGTTTAAACCCTCATTCCATCCACCAGATGCAAGAAATGTCTACCTAAAAACAAGGCTTTGAAATCCCCCATGTCTAAGAAGGTGCCCCATGGCTATGGTCCTCACTAAAAACTCCTAAACCGTCTCCACTTTTGGTAACTAGGAGGTAAAGATAGCTTCTGTGTTGTTTACACCGACTACGCGGAGGAATGATGAGCATGACGTTATCAAAATAAAGACTATATGTAGCCTACGTTAATGTCAGTGAGCTGAGGAAGCAGACATAAGAATGTTCTCATGGATGCACAGGAGACCCCTCTACAATAACTAAATGCTGCACTGATGTCCAGGAGGAGGCCAGACTTTATGAAGGACTGGATTATGATGGATGAAGGTTGTTTTTTTAACTGTTGCTTCGCTGTGATTTTTTTTTACCGCAGACGCTGTGAAGTCCAAAGCAAATTTCACACCGGGACAATAAAGTGGATTTTTACCGTATTAGTGAGAAAATTGAATTGAAAGTGAAACATGTTCAAACTAAAAGAACTGTAATCAGGCTGTTCACAAAGGACATTAAAAGCTTAACTAATCACAATGGTTTAAGAAGGTGGAAACTCACTCAAACGTTCTTTGGTTTAGCCAAAAGCACACCTGGATCAGTTTCCATGTAGCCAAATATAAACTCAGCTTTTTAATCCTTTCTAGTTCAGAGTTCTTTGGGTATTTTTGGAATCGTCTTAATTTCCACTGTTCTTTTATTCTTCTCTTCAGGCGAAGCTTCATCCGACAGGTTTTCTGTCCTGTAGCCAAGTTTGTTTGGTTTTCCAAAGAGCTTCCACCAACATTAAAAAAAACTCATGCAGCTTTTCCTTTCTGTGAAAGAAGCATTTTAACACTTACAGTAGATATTAACGTTGAACTGAGACACTGAGAGTCAAGATCCTAAACAGGACAAAGAGTGGATTAATACATCCTTTTGAGATTTAGAAACCACTTTCAGTAATCCATAATTAATCTCTATTAAACAAATGAATAATCAGCAGAAACGTAGTTTAAACGCACAAAACAATCCGTCTGCACAGGTATCAGGATTTGACCAAAAGAGAAATTTGACGATGGTCAGTGCCAAGCATTGCTTTGTTTCTGTGATTCAAAGGTGAGCTGACTTACTGACCTCTGAGACCTCATGTACAGTCTAACAGCAGAGTGGTTCTAACAGTTGTCCCTTCCTCACTGAAGATATTTATCTTGTTGGTCCATTTGCAGCTTTGGCTCTTTATCTCTACAAGTGTCTTCACAGACTGACGTTAACAGATCCTTCTGGTTGCTGATGAGAAAATGCATCAGTTTGTGAGACAAAGACACTAATCATGTGGTCGCTGTAAATTTTGGACATTAAAACTGGGACTAAAGTCAAGAAAAGCTTTAGGTCTCAATTTAACATATGATGGTCAATGTGTTGCTCTGCTTGGGTGTAACTCTTTAAATTGGTGAATCAGAGAATTTACTGGTTTTTAACTAAATTCTAATCAGACTTATATGTTGCTTTCCCCTTGAAACACTGAATTTATCCTTAAGTGCAAAACTTTTCTTAGACTCGGTGTGTATTTTGCGTTTCTCTGAGGGAGAAAAGCGCTGATGGCGCCTTTCTGAAAAGTTCAGAGCTTTTCAACTAGAAGCGCTCGAAGCGGCCACACACACGCTCTGAAAGAAGATGCTGGGTGCAGACGTTCTTCTGGAGGCAGGTGCTCTCTCTTCGTTGATAACAATTGACCAAAAAAAAAAAAAAAAACACTGAAAAGTGCAAAATGGACACTCAGCCTTATATTGTTCAATCATGGTACAGTATTTAAAAAGCTTCAACAGGAAATGAAGACAGCAGGAAATATATTTTCTACTGTAGAGTTCAGACGTTATGTCATTCATAAAACTAAGTGAAGGAAAGTCCACGTCTTTTAAAGCTAAACATGTTCCCATGATATAATACGGTCAGGTCTGTTTGATTTCAAATCCTCATTAACGTTATTTACGAGCCTAACCAAGTCATGTGACAGTTTAGTCCCATTAGCCCGTACATGTCCCATTTTCTTTTGAGGCGTTTGCGTATAATTAGGATTTCCAAAAATGCTTCACTAACCCATGCCAGGTTTTGCTAACACATAAGTTTGAGTGTCAAGTCGCTGCTCTGAAGTTTGAACACAGAAATCTGCCGTCTCTGTGGCCCTTTGCTTTTGTTTTTGGTTATGAGCACCTATTTAGAGGCGGGTTTATGGGACTACTGCCCGCTGCGCTCCATTCCAATTACTCAGCAGGCATGCATCCCGTCCCAGTAATGAAGTGGGTGTTGCAGTGGGTGGATTTGAAACTGAGCGGCCACTATTCTGTATTCCTGCTACCGGGTAACAAGGGATGAGTGGCAGAGAATAGCAGCAGCTCTGGCAGCGTGGCGCGGTGACAGAAAGCGTGGTGGACCAGCAGACCAACCGCAGAACCACAGGCGACAATCTGATCATCCTTCAATAGTGCGTGCTTACCTAAGTGTCAGGAGAAATGGAGAATTACATTTCAAAAGCCCAGTAAATAAAGTTTGTATTGATTTAATCCAACATGTAATCTGTTTTGCTGTCTGACACTGATTCTGGCCATAAAAGAGAATCATGTAAGACAGCATTGTAGATAATACGACCATAGATCAAATGGAGTTTGGGCAAGAGAAGGGCAATAGATCATGTTCAAGCTAGACTGCTTAGCTCTGGAATTCATAAACTACCTCCTAAATCGAGGTGACTTTCAGTTTAAGTTTTCAATTTACAGATATAGGATTTTTGTGTCCGCTTGATGTGATTTCATTGTCAACTTCAGCAGCAGTTCTGTGTGCTGGGAACTGTGTCTCTCTCAATTTGTCGCTCAACCACAAAAAAAAAAACATGTTCCACTGAAAAAAAAAAGAAAAAGAAATAAAATAATATTAGACGTCTGAATGAATCTCTGTGGTAATTTAATAGTTTGTTCAGAGAAACATATCACATGTCATTAAAGGCCTACTTCATGTACCGTCGACTCATTTTTCTTTTCAGTTTATGGGGAATAAAAGTCATTTAGGCCCCGTAATGTTAACGCCATTCTCTTCCTTTGTTTTAATTCCTGATATTGCAATGTGTATCTTTTTTTACCTCATATTTAGAAACAAGCATGGTATGAATGTTGAATCCAAATCTAAAATTACAAAACACTCAAACTTCAAACTGTAGTTTTGTTGTGTTTTATTTCAATTACAACCAAATCCTTTGAATAAATTAATTACAATTAGCAATCTATTTTAGTCTCAGGGTCATGGTTTGAGTTTTAACTATTTTTTTTAGTAAACATGAGTTTCTACTAAAGAGTACTGAATCATGAACTGCTACTTGAAAGCACGCACAGCAGTGTGTGCTGCTGTCTGCAGCAATTCAATTTAATAACTGCAATGACACCGTGTTATAGATGGAGATTTAATGTCTGCAGCTTCACTAGTATGAGACAGAGATTAAAGGATCCATCAGTCTAAATCAGTGACTCAATGACAATAGTATCTACTTCACAATTGATATCATCTGACATTGAGAATAGTATAAACTATCGATAGAACATTACCTTGGTTTATCTGTTGTTCATTGAACAAGTATGAAGTGCTAGCACCCCCCTCTGGTGACAAAGATTACTGCAGTGTATCGGTGATGAGTACAGGTACATACTATACATACATAATACAAGGTGGCATCGAAGCCCAAAACAGGAGAGAAGCCTCATATTTATAAATTATTACTCAAACTGTATTTTATGCCTATCATTTTTCAAAATGCTGTGAACTTTGATGTTTCTTATATATATCTGTTGAGGTAAAGTTGCAGCTGGTTTTATCCATTACTGCACTCTAGTGTTAAAAGAAGGCACTCGCATGTATGCCACGTAACATGACCGACACAAAGAAAAAGAAATCAACCAGCAACAAAAATAATTCAGACCTCTTTGTCTGAGGAATTTGCTTTTCTGGGATTTTTTTGGGATTATCCTACTATAATAAATAAATAAATAAAACCTGCAGCATGTAGCTTTAGTATCACAGACACACCGATATAGCGATCCATTTATAATATGTAAAATATTTGTGATCTGTACCAGTTCAGTCAACTATTTATTAAACCGTAGTAGGGGAATTAAAATCACTGCACACGTAAATAGCTGCCCACTAGAACTAGTGGATTACTCTGACAGCCCCCCCGAGCATCTCTTACCTTGTGTGCTCCAGAGAAGTAAATCTGTGGTGCTTTCCAAACGGTGCTGACCATTTCTCTGAGTTTCAGGTCCTTTGGAATTACGAGGCATTTGTCAATGTCCAGCTGTGGATAGATGACCTCTAGTCCACCACTGTATTGAAGAGAGATGAAAGATTAAACTCATCCTAAACAGTTCTGTGTTGTAAGTGAACAGGCTCACACCCCGAGATAAAAATGTCCAGCTTATCTAAAAATGAGCCTTCAGTTCAGAAGCTTCTGTCTTTGTCGTGTTCATTTTATGTATGGTTTACCCATCATTGCAGTTGTACTGTGATCACAGCCGTCTGATGCATTATGGGCTACTTACTGACAGAAAGAAGAATCCAGAGAGGTCACGGTGTCTGGTGTGGCCTCCACATGGAAAAAACCCAAAACACAGGCACATAACACCAGAAACGGTGCCGGCACAGCCTGCAGGACAGCAGCGTTCAGTGAGTCGAGGAGTCATTATTTTCAACAGGGAAATGAGTTTTGCCTGTTTATGTTTAATGTGTTAGATTCAAAGTGTCTGACTGAAACACAGCTCGTTACGTCCTGACAGTCGAGTTCAAAGGAGGCCTGTCCACACTGACAGCTTGGGAAGACTGTCACCGTATTTCACCTTGTCGTGTCTAATGAATGATGTCTATCATCTGTCCAGCAGTATATCTCTTGAACAGTATATAAAAATTGTGTTTGCAAGTCGTGGAGAGTAACTGAAACCGAGGTACTTCTTACTGCTTCAACGTAGGCCTGCAACTAACAATTATTTTCATTATTGACTATCTGCTGAATTACCTTGTTGATTAATTGAGTCATCGTTTGGTTTACAAGATGTCAAAACTGTTTAAAATACCAGTTCCCAGATCTAAAGATTTTAAATGTTATTTAGTCTGTACGACAATTCCGAACAAATTAATAACAATTATGTTATTTAAAGATATTGAATATAATACAAGTCAAAGAAAAGCAGGGAACCTCAACATTTGAAATGCTGGAGCCAGAACATATTAGGCATAATCTCCATGTCTTTATGGATTATCTACACCGTTATTCACCTGCTGTGTAGTGTTGGCCTGTCAGAGCTTGTTTAAACACTTGGCCCCGCCCACACCCGTTTGTCTAGACGACACATCACCAGCACTGCACGTGATGACGGGAATCCTAATATACTTAACATTGTGACAAAGTCACTGTTAAATTACCATATTTAAATTTGTATGCTTAGTCATACCTCAGCTGTTTGAACACTGCAAAAGACGTTACGTGTTGCTGATGCGTTTCTATATTTAACGTTGAACTTAATAGCAACATTTGGCTAACGTTACATCCTGCCACGTGAGCGAGTCATATTACAGATATTACAAGTCTCTCATTTGACTTGTAAAGAAAAGTTTAGAAGTAACGCTTGCACAAAACTAATATTAGCTCGTGTTTTAGCTTGTTTATATTTATGAAGTGCAGACGTCACACTTCAACACAGGTGGTTTATAAATGATCAGGTGTCCCTCGAGACATAGAGAGCAGACATTAAATATATCCCTGCATGCACACTGCAGTCTTCGTAGGGTTACGTTAGCTACATTAATAATGTGTGATAAACATTACCATCTCTCAGAAGTCCACTTGTGTTTAGCTGCAGGCTTCTACTTCTGGTTCACGCGCAGTTGTTGCAGCTGCGCGCCTTTACGCAGTGCACGAGCCTGTGAGGTTGCAAACGTTTCATATGACATAACTAAAAAGGGTTTTTAAAAAAAAAGACTGCACACATTGCTCCTTTTTTATTTAGTAAATAGTATTTACACATTTTCAAGAACACATGCTACAGAATTTCAGATTGACAGCTCCTAAACAATAAAAACAGCTCTTCAGAACAAAAACACCTGATGACTAAGGAAAACGTCATCCAGGTTTTGAACACTGAGAAAACATTCAATTTTCTTTTCTTCTTTTCATTATTGTTGTGTTTTTTAATTATTTAATTTTCAACCATTTCTTAACAAGGCCTCTTAAACTATGCAGTAGTGATTGTGCAGCATATAATATATTCCTGGTGCTGCTAAAGCTCCCTTTGGTTTGTGCTTCTCTGCAGCGTGAAATTAGCACCCAAACATATGTAAAAGGGCTCCAGTGACAACTTCTTTGTAATTTGTGATCAAATTATTATTTTTTTTACCTGATGTTGTGTACATATCTAATAATGTTTCTATATCATCTAATGTCATTTGAATAGAACCTGGTGCTACAAAGCAGTGCAAGTTTGTAATTTCAAAGTCAGACATTTCAATATGCATAGTACAAAAACATTTTATATGTTAAACTATGCAATAGCTTGTAGCTATGCTAAGTTTGAATTGCAAGTCCCATAATTCATATTTACATGTTTGAGTTAGAATCTAACTTTCAATTGCCACCCTGTCTCAGCATTTTGTAATATACAGACTCCAAAATTGGAGATCATGAGCATAAAGTGACTTTAAAACAAAAGAACACATTTGAAATCCCTGCATTCATTTCATGATAAATGTCAGAAATCTATGGTTTGTCATTATGTTAGTCTTGTGTGGCCTTGGTGGTCTGAGTCTTTAATTAGTTTTGTGTTTACAGCTTGAAAAGGGCATAAACCCTCCGCAGCGTTCAAACTAAAGCACACTTATCACATCGATCACACATCGATTGCTTCACATCCCAATTATGTAAAGAGTATGTACATTTACAGATACACACACAGCCAGAGAGCACCATGGTAACTAAACGTAGAGCAAACAGACCAGTGACCACAGCAAAACTACTAAACATTCGATTCCATACACTGCACTGTACATTAAGGCATGAGGTGTTGTTGATGCAAAACATCAGCAGAGGACTCATTGAGAAATACAATGCACTGAGGAATGAAATGCATGTCTATGGAATTTATCAATCACACCACCAAGGTAAATGATAATAATATTCACCCTCCTGCTGTTAAACTATTAGAATAAACAATATTTTGTCTGAAAACTGGACAATATTACTTATCAGAGAGATAGTGTAATAAATTAAAACATTAAGAACTAGGATGGCTCTCATCCTTCGGCCTAATGTCTGACCATGTGTGCCAAAAAATGTGAACAGTTAAGATATTCAAAATGAGATTTATCATGTTTACTTACCAAGAGACAAAAGTTAATGTAATTGAGAACAATTCAAAGCTACTGCTTAGAGCACCAGCACCACTACTCTATATCTATATACACTTTAAATGAGAATTTGCAGATCCCTTTTCATGCAGTGTAGTAATTAGGTCAAAAGTTAGTTCGAGCAGAAACTGATTTTGTCACTGATGTGATTCATACCACTTTATCGTTTTAAGCTCTCTGTTAGGCTCTTATATCTGTCTCGACCTAAATTGCATGGAAAAGTCTAACCAATCATATGCAAGATTGAGCTAGCCTACCTTTAACATATGCTGCCATAAGAATGACACGTTTTATGGATGTACCAAGTCCTAATGATGTAATTTATATAAACATGTGTCTACTTTACCTTGCACTGTTATCCTATTTTACTATTACTCAACTGTTTGTTCGAACTGCCTGTACCTTGCATGTATTCTTCAGTATATAATAGATGTAACTGGAGGTCAGCACGACGAGTAGTCAGATATTTTCAACAACAGTTTGTAGCTGCACAGTAACTAATTGCAAGTCTATATTTAGTATATGTATTACCCAGTAATACTGCTCACTGCCTGCAGTGCACAATATTAGGTAACAGCACATTAGTGATGCAAGTTGATTGCAGTTAATATGATATTTTGTACAGTTTACAATACTACCCATCTTCACTGAGCACCATGCTTACAAATCCAAATCACGCCGCAGTCCATCCTACAATCGAGTACAACAGTAGATGACAATCTTTAAACATATATTGTGAGGTGTGCAAAACAAATCAAGAAAAATGATTTGATCTCAACCATCTCACAACCTTTTTTTTTTTTTTTTTTTTAAACAAACTTTTTTAAATATCATGGTCTGCAGACGCAACGTGCCATGATGACACCATACTGTCTTTAGTTCCGTTTACCAGTACGATGCTACTGGATGTTCTTGTGTGTGTCTCTGTGGAGAAGAGTCCAAAAGGTGCTTGAGGTGTGTAGAAGAGTAGAAGAGTAGGGATGACTTCACCCAGGCATGAGGATGCCTCCTGCATGTAGTCTCACACAGCCGACTGCCGACAGTCACGGGGCTAAGACAAATCTCTAAAGGCCAAACCAACACCAGCGTCAGATACGTGAAAGACACCATCCCTCCGTGATGGTGTTTTTCATGCATTCATGTAAACTAAAGCCCTTTTTTGACAAGAGGCCACAAATCACAATACAGCCAGCAGTTTCTAACAATAATGCTGAGCGTATCCAGACTCACGTCACTTTTAGCTTTGCAAGCCGAACACAAACCATCAAAAACAGAATGACTGTACACAAATAAACAGGAGTGGAACTTGCCAGTATTTTCTTTTATGCTTACACGATCAAAATCCGTATGGTTAGAGTGAAAGACTTCAATAATTTATTCCTGGCAGGCCATACTATCGTTACATCCTGTTGACAAGAGCATGCTGTACACATAGTTTAGTAGATTGTACAAACACTTAAGGGCAAAGTGTTATTTCTCTGAGACTGAGAAGTTCTGCATTTAATTGCTGGTTGTTGCAGCTGAGAAGCAGCACTTGGTTATCAGTTCAGGTTAATTGATGATAATTAAAAAATAATACGTGGAAAGTTCTGTGCCAGCAGAGTCCTATTTTTGAAACATACAGTATATCAATCAATATGAATTGTTATTTGCGCCAATTACACTGTGCCATTTGTCAGTGAGGTTCACATCACTGAGGTCTGAGTCTCATGTACACCAAGCTAAAAATCTAAGGAAGGAAACTCATTACTTTAACCGCCAGATAGAGCTGAGCTTGCAGACCTGGAGGAATTTGACTGCAGTGGCAAACAAACAGGAGGAGAGGCTGCACGCCTGAATAATTGGGGCGTACATAGCCAGTGGTGCTTATCTTTTATTGTATATTTTACAACTCGCATCCACACTGATGTACTTCAGAGTAGACCTGGCCTTACCACTTGGTCAGATGACAGCAGATGAGCCAGAAGAAGAAGAGTTTGAGTTAGGGGAGGAAGGAAGGTTCCAGAAGAGCCACTTGCGTTTACATTGCCGTCTCTGGTACAGGTAGTCCTCCTTGTCACGCTCTTTACGTGCTCTTTGGTAGTGGTCATCCTCTTTCAAATACCACACAGGTGGCCAGCGATGTTTCTCAAAGTATTCTTGGTTTTCTGCATCAGAATAAACTGTCTTAGGAATTTAGCAGGAATTTCAAGAGTCCATTTTTAACAGTCCATTTCCCCACATTCATGATTGCATTCCAACACGGTCACAACAACACATTGCAGCACAAAAAAAGTAAGTTGGAAGAAACAGATCTAAGTGACATATGCATATTTTTCGGTATAATAATTGTGCTAGAAATACAACTCAGTGAAAGAAATCTTTAATAGTGTGTAATGGCTAAAACTATATTTTAATATACAAACATCCTTAAGTCCCATCATGTATAGCAGCAGAAATAACAGCATTCATGAAGGAAAGCGTAACTTTAGAAGCTACTGTATTATTGATTGTAATTATTGAATTATTCAACACGAGACTGGCTAGGCTATCATGATGAAATAATTATTTTGCTAAAATCTAAATATTACCTTAATAAGGTGGTATGAGGTTAATCTGTTTTCACAGATTTCATGTCCAACTTTCCTTAAAGAGTATTAAACATTTTCAAATGTTTTTATTTCATGCTGTTATGCTCCAGATGGCCACACATACTGTATGCCAGGTGAGTGTCTAGTATGAATGTGAGGGTATTTAAGGTCACCAGTGTGCTATGAGATCACATGTTTGATACCTGTAGACTTGGCCTTCATCTCTCGGGGAAACTTGCGGCAGACACTGTTGTAGTTGGTGCAGATGTGGTGAAGACACCAGCCAGTGAGCTGTTGGGCGCCGTGGAACTGTCAACATACAAATCATTATTTCTTATTATTTGTACATGACAGGCATGGTTGTCGCTGTGGTGCTTTGCTGTTGCTGTGGGTGAAGACACCTCATTATTTGAGCTAAACCTGAATAGGACTAAAAACCCATTAATGCATGAAAAAAAAATGTTTTATTCATATTTAAAAAGAGTACAGTAGCCATTTTAGTTCAGATTGCCATGTTTACATCTGCTTGGTCAGACTTGGCTCTATACATTCTCTGACAGTTTCTTTAACATCCATCAACTTAAGCTGCAGTACTATATTGTCAGTCACAGCTGTTCTTTGTTAGCTGTATTGAATTCATTTGAGGTGTTGCTCATCAGCTGCACTCGGGAGCTTCACTAAGACTTTAACCTTCATACTAACAGCTGGCATTAGTGTGGCATCTGAGAAAGTACACATATAACTCCACTTTAGGACTCCACTCAAGATTAGATGAAAAAAAATGCAGGAAATTAAAGACCTCTCCCTTTTCAATGTATGTCTTATGATTGTGCTTTAGTGGTACATATTACCAAAGAAATTACTAATAAATGAATGTGGCTCCCGAGCATCTTTACCAGGTCAGTAATACAGCCTTGCATATGACACTTACGAGTTAGAGCTGAAGCGAATATGCAGCTGAATGATGAGATAAGCTAAAGTGCTGAGTCTAACTCCTACACTATGTCCTAAATGCCCACTGCCCCAAAGAGCTGGAGCCATTCATTATGCTCAATAGCTGACTTGCAGTCTGAAAAAGAGTTTCTTTGGCTCCACCTTCGAGGAGTAAAGATTATTTCAGCCTCCAGAGCAGCTGTCCCTAAAAATGCCCTCATTAATAAAATTCAAATTTGCCAACTCCTTATACAAGAGCTTTCAGTGTCGTCCATGTTTACTGATGATTGACAGGTCACACTACCTGGGCCATGTCCAAGTAAACAAGCACGTCGCCATCAATGTCCGCCCCCATCATCCCTGCCTCCGTCAATACTGTTACTGTGTAGAGCTCTGAAAGAAACACAAAAGCTAGTCACTGTTTGCAATACCACAATGGCTTCGTGTAATACAATCAGTGTGGTTTACAGGGTATATAACTATACCAAATGTAGTACCTGTAAGTGCAACCAGGTGGGGGAGGCAAAGACGATTGGCAAGAACAATAAGCTCCATTGCGTCCAGGTCAGACCGAGAACAAAACCGCCCTGTGTAGAGATATTCTAGGACAGCCCTCATACAGCTGCGAGTTGTGTTTGGAAACAGCACCTTAGAAACAGGAACATGTGACAGTCAGGACTCAAAGGCCCAACAATGTTGCAGTGTTTTTCATTTTTCAAACACAAGAAGAAATTTACTTTTCACTTTTATATTTTTAAGATGTAATGAAGAAACAATTAAAGGAAATCTAGTTGTTATCAAAATCGTGATTCTCTTTTTCGGTTGAGCTTCAGCTGCAGAGGCAGAAAGTGCATCTAAATCTCAAACTAGCTGCAGAACATACATGTATTATCTTTCAGTATCATCTTCTGTTAAGGTAGAAAAAATGACTGAGCTATCAGAAGTACAGTATGGTTGGATCACAGAAGTCTGTGTAATTGTATTAAGACAGACTTGCAATCCACTAATCAAATTATACTTTGTACGCAGACTACAGAACTCATTGGCGCTCTACCTGGGTCAGATCATGTAATGACATTACCTTGACTGGCAATAACAACGCCATTACGAGCAACATGGAATACATGTCTTACCCAGTGTTGACTTTGGTGTGTTATTGAGCTCTGTTGGTCTTATTTCACAGCACAACAAACCAGTGATGTTGTTTGACTTACCTCTTTGGTGCAGCTCTCCACAAAAGGCCCGCCAAACATAGCTGCCATCCAATCACAACTAGAGATGAGTAGAGGCTTGTGGGCCATGATGGTCCCATCATCTAGCTTGAATACTACATCTGTAACACAGAGGTGAGACACAGATAACACATTACTTACAATTGCATCCACTATACTTCAAGCAGAACACCTGAGCAATTACGGATGAATGATTTCCACTCACCAGAAAAGGTGCCTTTGGCCAAACACTCTTTGACTCTGTTTGTGCGCCGTACATGGAAGGCTTTGGTGATTTCTTGGTTCATGAAGGCTTCATTGTTGAGTATGTTTGCCACCATCATCCGCAGGTCAAAGACCTCCAGCAGCTCAGCAATGTGTGCGATGTGCATTAGCTCTTTCTCATTCTCGTCTAGCTGACCTGTGTACAGGTAGCGAAGCACTGCTCGGAAAGGACCGAGCTGCATGGACTGGTCCATGTGCACTACAGTCATGGGCCTGGGGCTGTATGTGACAGGGTCATCTACCAGCTCCTCCTGGATACTGGCGAAGGCTCGGCTCCACGAAGAGAGGAGTCTGCCCCGTCGAGCCACCTCAGAGTCTTTCAAGGTCCCATCACTAGTGCAGGCCCTCAGGTTGGCCCTGTCGCCATCGTCGCTGAGTTCGCAAACATCAAAGCTAGCAGCACGCATCAGCAGCTCTCTGCCAGAGAGTGAGCCACGAGAGGGCCTTTCAGTCTCCTCATTATGTCCATCCAGTATAAAGAGGTCATAGAACTTTGAAGAGGATGTCGCCAAGTATATCTTGTGTGCAAAGATTTTCTGTCGCTCCTGCAGGACCAGGATGACATCAGCACAGTGTGGGTCCTCCAGAAGACCGACTGGATGCTCCTCTGTGGTGGTTGGGGGAGGAGGCACAGTGATTATAGGCGGGGGAGGTTTTGGTGGCAGGAAGGGCGCCTGAAGGAGAGGCCGCTGAACATTTCTGAGGTGAGATTTCCAAAACTGCAGGTGTCGGCGTGAGATGAGCGCAGCTCGGATAGCATTATCAAAGACGTCCTTGACTCCAAATTGAGCAACAACACTGGTTTCATAATATGGCACTCCCAACTCTTTGGCTACCTCCCGGCCTCTCTCTGGAGGAAGAATCTCATTGGATTTAATGGGTCTGAAATACAAGAAAATATATCAGAGACAATTTTGGCAATAAAAAAGAGAAAATCTCAAACAATCTCTTTGAGTTTTGTTCAAACACAAGTCCAATTACCTAGCTAAGGGCCTCCGTGCCCTGTTCACTGCCTCCAGGTCTGCATAGCGCAGGTCCAGCTGACAGCCAACCAAGATAACAGGAGCACGGGGGCAGAAGTGCTTGATCTCAGGGTACCACATGGTCTTAACATGGTATAGAGAGTTCGGGTTGGCGATTGAGAAGCACAGTACCACCACATCAGACCTGAATAAAAGATGCAGGAGAAATTCACGAAACTCAGAAAGCACCAGAGCATGTATTGGTAGACTTACGTTGATTTTTACAATATCTTACCTGCCGTATGCAAAACGCCGGTCCTTATGATGGTCTCCAAAAGTATCCCAGAGACGAAGGGACACACTGACTTCATCCACCACATCTCTGGAGCGCTCTAACACCTAATAAGAGACACATTCAAGGATGTTTCATTTCTGTAATTCACTATTGTGAATGCTTACAGCTAAATGTGAATATGAGGCACATTCTATTTGTGTATAGATTTTGAGTGACCAGAGATTTAAATCTTAAATAGTCATACGCTTGCATACTTACCTCCTGGCATACTCTGTACTGGTCAATTGCCCAGACTGTGGGCACATGTGTAGCGAGTAACTGGTACTGAGTCAGTGTGGCATTGCAGGCCCGGGCGCAGATAAGGCGGGTCTTTCCGACTGCATTATCTCCCACCACCACACACTTGATAGTTTCAACGTTTGGCCTTTCATAGTCCATATCAGAATCTGTCAGCTGGGACCTGTCAAAATACAAAGAAGCACAGAAAGCTGCATCAGCACCTGAAATCCTAAACCATTGTCCTGGACAGAACAGGAACATGGATCAATAGGGATATCAGACACTGTGGCTACTCCTCATCTGCACTGCTCGTTCTGCCTGCAGAGCTATCAATGGACGGTCTCGTGACTTCCCTGTGCCCATTCACAAGATCCCTGTTCTTGCTCCTGATATAGAACATTTTTTAAAGGGACAAGCTAACACAAAGGGGGAGGATTTTTTGGGGGGGATCCTTAGAGTTTGCAACTCGACCTTTGCTGCAAAAGAATATACCAATTTTCAACATTTTAGTTACATTTTATAGAAAAGCACACTCAGTTCCAAAACAATAACTCAATTAAAAATAAACAGTTTAGCTTGTCCACTATGGGTTAATAAAGGCGGATACAATTCTTACTCTAATTCCAACCATCTGCAAGCCTAAAATACCTTTTCCCTGTTTACAATGCAAACAACCTTAGATCTTACAGTAGCTTAAATCATCCCAACCTAATTCATTTCAATGAGTACTCAAGATCTGACATCCACAATTCTGCCTTCATTAAATTAAATGGGGGGAATAGGTAAATAGACAATTTCTGTGTCTTGAAAATGGTGGCTAATTTAGGTAGCCGTTATGGTTTCCAAGGGAACTGCAGCCTGTGTCTCGGTGTGTCACAGCCTATATCAGACAATCTTCCATCGATTACACAACCGTGTTTTTTACAGCAGCATATAAACATGATAGTTATAACTGCTGTGGTAGGGCTACTGTCATGCAAGTGCTGTTGCCTTATTTTAGTTCTAAGTTGTGCCACCACAGCACACAGGCTCAAACTCTGGGTACTGTAATGGCCAAGCTTTTGTCATATCGTGGACCATCTCTTTAGTCTCTATATGCTCCATCTGAGTTTTGTCCCAGCATTGCTTTAAAGAAATAGCTGGCCCCCTTCCTAAAGCATCACCATCGGTCAGCCACATGTGGTACAGCCACATTTCTGATTCTCTATAATGACAATAAGAAATCAGCTTTTTTTTTTTTTTTCTTGTAGCAGTATTTCACATTTTGATGTGTTACAATGCCCTACAGATTACTATTACGGGTTATTATGATTTCTCCTGACGTTTGCAGCCATTCATAAAATCAGCCCTTTGTTGACTGCCCGATCTGCATCCCTATAGGCTAGATGTCTCGCCTCCATTTAGGCAGGCTATATATAAACACATCTGACAGGCTAACCTTATAGGCTTGGCCTGACATTACAGAGACAAGCCGCCTCTAATATTGCTCATTCATATGCTCTTTCCGGTCTACACTGCGCAACTCCCGAACTAATTCATACATTTTTATATGGCCAGATACTATAGATAATCCATACACCGGATTTTAGAATATCCTCCTAATCAAATCATCATTCAATAAGCTTGCAGCTTAAATTATCATCCACAACAAAGATGATAAAATTGTGCATATCCTACCAGAAGGACCGAACAGTCCCACCACCACCGAGACACTAGTCATGAGGCTCTGCTGCATTACACCTTATGTAACACGCCGTCACTGACTCTTGAGCCTGTTCATCCGGCTCCGCGTCCATCGCTAAAATAAAAAAATCAGCCATACGGAAATAAAACCCGTTTTGTTTCCCCTGCAGGAAATAATGTTACGTTCCTCTTACCGCAACATAAGGAAGGGCTGCATCGGGTTGGTCGATGAACGAGATAAAAAGCAGGGCTCCATCGGATGCCGCGTGCACCTGACGGCAGCTCGTTTTGAACTTCATCTTCAAGGCAAAGTGAATACGTCTTGAAAAGAGGCGGCCGGCAGATGTTTCAGGTAACGGGATCAGTGCGATTAGTCCGATTGCATGGCCAAAAAGACGAAAGCTGACCTGAAGCCTGCGATGCAGCGCTGCCCGTCACGGAACCACCTCCACTTATAAGGCCTCCGTAGCTAATAATAGGCAGGCACCGACGAAAAAAACCCATTCATTACAAAACACTGATCCACTTTAAAGTCGCACAAATCTCATTCCACCGCTCCTAAGCAGCCCGGATAAGACCGCCTGCAGTGCGTGTTTTTGTTACACCTCCCTTCTTTTAAAAATCTGGGTTATAGACTGCTTTGCACAATTTATAGTATGTTTATGTTGTGATTGTAATGAAATACATCATACGCCCCTCATGCATTCAGGCTGGGTTAAAATAACGTGTGCAAAGTGCTGCAATATTTCATCATGAATGATCAGCTAATGTAAACTGACAGTGTTGTATCAAGGGGCGGGTCTACTTTATTTTAGTTAGGACAGGTGCTCTATGGGTGTCTGCGTGTGTGTGTGTGTGTGTGTGTGTGTGTGTACAGTATATAGTCTACATGTATACATACACATAGTGGTTGCATGTGTGACAGAAACAAATTCAATAAAAAAGGAATCCGATGGCTGTCAAACCAATAAATAAGTAATGCATATTTGATTGGATCCATTTCTTATTTTGTTATTCAAGAGGGTTGTAAAAACAAAATTGCATGAGTCATGATGGCTGTTGAGCTTTAAATAAACGACGAGCTGTTCCCTGGTACTAAATTACCTCTTTTGGCTCTTATAAACTGAGCATTTATGACTTTGCATAGTTCCTCTCATGGGTTTGGAGAAAACTTTATATATAAAAAATGTGAAATTTGCATGAAATCTCCTGCAGTAGTTTTGTTATGGATTAAAAGACATTACATGAAACATACATGGTATTTTTGAAATGGTATTTCTTATACATTACCAAAATCTCATATCACTGTTTTAGTTACCAACAAGTTAGACCAACAAGTTAATTAATGCCACGTTGCTATCATTAAACAGGCTACTGAGTATACTCAGTTTGCATTAGATTCATATGTATCATGGTCATCACACATTACCATGGGCCAAGACAAGTACAGTGTTAACAATTCAGAAAATGTCCTATTTATTGCCTACAATAGTGTTGACAAAGGCAGCTATGGCTCTTATTGGCAGTTGAATTATTGTTTAGCACTTTAGGGCAAAGCAGTTATTGGCGAGATAACTCAACCTCAGGATGCAAAGCAAAAAAATGAATTGCTGAGGTAGTGATTTGAAGGTCTGTGATAAATAAAAGGCCACTCACCACTCACAGGTACTGACAGCCATAGTGCACAGATGGTGGGAGGTTTTTTTCTGTTGGAGGTAATTTCCACTGCAGTTCGATTCAGTAATTCTGTCTTCACAAACTCAGATGATGTGGTTTAAGGAAGGCTGTAATCTGCAATAAATCAAATTCTCAAGAGTTGGTTTATCTTTTACCTCCGTCACTCTGTGTTGTCCTGAGCTACGTCATTCACATTACAAAGTCTAACAATGCAATCCATTGTTTGTACACCTTAACTATGTAGGACCAAGAGGATCCAATTAACATGTATACTTGCAAATTTTAGAACATTTATGCCAAAGCTGCACTGAATGTATTGTGGAAGAAATGCCTCAGCAGCAAGCATCATTATGGGGAAATGCTTTTATAGATTTATATCCTATTGCATTTCTATGTCATTGAATTACTTGTCGAAGTGAACACAGTATTTCAGCTTTACAAAGTGATATTAAGCAGTTCATGTATAGTTACATGCACTTTTGGTGTGATACTGATTAACTCTTCACTTTAATCCATATGTAAAGCCATGTTTTTACTATAACTCCTGCAATGTCCAGTCTGCTCCACCAGGTGAGGCTGAAAGTCTACTTTACATATTATTTAATCCTCTCTTCAATACTGAGCCACAACACAAACAGATATAAAAACAAGTATTGTATTGTACTGCAACACATTACATAATGATACAATAACATATTGTAGCATTTGTGTTGTCAGCGAGGGTCTTCTACTGAAAAAAGAAAAAGCTCAGACATGTGGAAGCTACAGCTCTGAGTAATACTGTACATGTAAGAGCGGTACCTGAATATGAACCAAAATATCAGACTCAGAGCCTTACTGAGAGGTGACAGTGCTAACCACTACACCACCGTGCTGCTCTATTGTATTTTGCTCCCCAAAATGGATATAGACGTTAAACAGGGAACAGGAAAATATTGCTAACATTAAGAGGCATTGCACTAATAACCTTAACCTATTTTTCAATAACAGTTTTGTATTATTACACTGTATAATTCAACATGGGCTGGTCAAATGCAGGCCTAATGTGATATAATGTTCAGCAAACTCATCTTCTACCTACAACTGTGATTTATAGTGACGCATGGATACTGATTTGCCAAACTTAACCTTAGAATTGTGCAATATCCGAAGTGAGGGATCAATGTGTAACTGCTATTGACAGCAGCTTTAAAGTGAACTCTGTGCCGGAGTCCAGACAGATTGGGTTTCTTGAACCATTCAGATAGTCGCACAACCGTCGCTGACAGTGGCTTTCTGTTTCTTTCTCTATGGCTGCTGCTGAACCACACTCCAAACCTTTCTTCTCTCTGGAGTCCTACCATGTATCTGAAGACCTTGGCTTTATCCTCCCTGATCCTCTGGTAGGTGGATGGATGGTTTCCTTCTCTATCTTTTGACACTTTTTACATTTTACCTTATACACACGCAGTCATAATGAAATATCAGATTGTCAGGAAATCTTTGATTGTCATTTAACTAAATTTAAATGTAGTTCACATTGGTGAAAGCGATGCTCACAGTCTTGAAGTTATAAAACTGTGAACTCGTGACTGGTGGTATTGATTAGGACCAACAGACTGAGGGAAGTTTGGCATTGTTTCTGTCTGCTTTGTGTAGAGAACTTTATTTCTACAGCAACATGTGTTTACAAAATCCCGGTTCGTGAAACGTCATATAGCAACATAAAACAATGAAATGCAAATTTAGGAAGGAATCAAAAGTGAAAATGTCTTAGAGGGTTCCATCATTTGCACCTTTACATTTGTGCACAGCTCTATTTCATTTCCATTTGTCATGGTGATCATCACATTTTCTTTTGATGGTCCAACTGGTCTTAAAAAGGAAGAGCTTCCACCTTACTACCAGCCATGGATGGATATTGCCCTGCGAGTCCCAGAGCTTGTGCACTCTCACGAGTTGCGCTTCCATATCAACAAGGTAAGTGGGGACAATAAACTGACAAGGACAATTTTACTGTATTTATGGAGCCATGGTTCCCTGTTAATACCCCTTCTGTCCAGATGCCGCAGCTGAGCAGCCAGTTTCTGCAGAAACACCGGGAGTTACGCTTGGCCCACCTTGCCCTCAGTATGATGACCATGGGCTACATGTGGCAGGAGGGAGAGAACAACACAGTGAAGGTATCTCTGTGTCAGTCTTTCTTTTTGTCATACTGACTTTTTCCTTCCCTGCCTGCTATCAGTTGCTCTCGCAGTCTACAACTTATATGACTGACTTTCCATCTTCAATAATCTTCCTCTAAGATGCTACCGCATAACCTGGCGGTCCCATACTGGGAGGTGTCACAGCGTTTAGGACTTCCCCCAATTCTCACACATGCAGATGCAGTACTGGCTAACTGGAGGAAGAAGGATCCAGAGGGGTAGGGCCAGTTATCTTCAGCATGTGGTTTGGTTGCCTTCTGAAATATATTTATTATATATAGAATCTGTTCTCTCTCTTTTTCATGTCCATCTGTATGTCTCCTGTGCCAGTCCTTTTGACATGGAGTAAGTACATTTTCACTTTAATTTATGGTTCTCTACACATGACGTACCATAAAATTTGGATGAATGCAAAGGTTATTGTTGTACGTGTGTCACGCAGGAACCTGGAAGTGCTGGTCAGCCTCCCAGGTGGAGACAGCACCAGAGGTTTCTTTTTGGTCACTCTGCTGGTGGAGATGGCAGCAGTTCCTGCATTGAGGGTGAATACATATCCCCAAATAAGTCAATTCTTACAATATACTCGTGAAAGAACAGGGATTCATTATGTTTATGTTGTCGTTTGAAAACTTACCAGACAAAGACACTTAATTACCTGTGTTGCAGAACATTCCCACCGTGATCAATGGTGTCAGGTGTGGAGACACTGAGACTGTGGCCAAAGCCCTGGAAGTCATCAGCCAGTCTCTACAGGACATGACAGATAAACTCAAACTGATGCAAGGTAGTCACTCTGATTTAAACTCAAATGAATGAATGATGAATATTTTACATTGACTGTATTTTATAACCAAAAGTATTTTGATTAATGTGATTTTTCTGAAGTTTACGTGGAGCCTTCGGTATTCTATGGCATTATGAGGATCTACTTGTCTGGGTACTTTGTTTTCATCTGACTGATTAGTTATTCATTTGTGAAGTGAAACATGTTTTTGAAATGTGTATGGTGTCTTTCCACCATGCATAGGTGGAAAGACAACCCCTGTATGCCAAAGGGGCTGGTTTATGAAGGGGTCCAGGCCGAGCCCATGGAGTATTCAGGTGGGAGTGCTGCACAGAGCAGCTTGCTGCACTGCTTTGATGAACTTCTGGGCGTCAAACATGAAGCAAAAAGTGGTAAGATGGCTGTATTTCTTTCGATTGATTACAGCAGTGGCAGAGGTTTGAGAAGGACTCATTGTTATGACACTACTGCATTTAGGTGCCTTTCTAACCCGCATGAGGAACTACATGCCACCTGCCCACAAGCTGCTGACCCAGGACATCTCATTGCAACCCTCCCTGAAGAGGTTCGTCCAGCAGCAGGACAGCGAGAGGCTAAACCAGGCCTTTCATCACTGTGTCACAAAACTGTTGGCTTTGCGCAGCTACCACATCAACGTTGTCAGCCGCTTCATCACTGTACCTGCTGCCCGCGCCCGACAACTTAGAAACCAGAGCCAGGAGTTAGACGGGGAGATGATCAGCAGAGCACCCACGGCCTTAGAGGAGAGGGGCACCGGTGGCTCTGGCATCATGATCTTCCTTAAGGCTGTGAGAGACCAAACAAAAGGCACTTTGCTGCCTGAGACGAGCAAATAAATGAAGCACCGCAGCTGATGTGAGCCGTCATCACTGAGAATACACAGTAGAGTGTCAACTGCATCACATAAAACAGGCCGTAAATCACCTCTGATTACTTACAGTAAAACAATTTTATATGCCATTTAAAGGATGCCTTGTGGCAGAATGGGAGTGTGAGGCCTCTATCGCTCGTCTTACATGTAGCTTTGTTCTATCTGTAAACAAACCTCAGACAGGAATAGACGGGAGTGATACCCATCATTCAGTCCAACCCATAATTAAAACCATTACTGTTACTTTCCATTAAATTCAGCCATTAATTCCTCCTTTAATCTGAACTGGAATGCAAAAAAATGCATCAGACATCTGCTCCAGATAGCTTTTCGGTTTATAAGACCCCAATTAGGTTACCGGTACTGGTTTTAACGTTATGATAGTAAATGAGAGAAGCTCTCAGAAAATGATTATGTGAAGAAAAAAAATGAATACTGCAATACCCTGTGAAACCTTGGCAGGGCACTAAAGTTCAGCATTGTAGATCATCACAAAATAAGATTTCACAGGTTTTGCCTTTAAAAAACTAAAACAGTTGGCAACACCTGAGTGCACCAAAGACGTGCAGCCACTGATTTAGCCTTGTCACAAACAAAATGGACCTGATTAAATAATATAGTATTCTAGTAAACTATAGTAGTTGTATTCATCATTAATAATAGTCATTTGAAGAGGCGTGAAATCCACAACAGCCTGACACACTAAGGTATCGGCAGGCTGGAACCTGAACTCTCCCTCTCAGAAAAGAATCCGTCTTTGTTTCATCTTTACTCTAGAGCATGTCCTCACAGTGGGGTTATCATGTCAAAGTACAATGCACAATGCAGTACGGAGATGCATCACTTATCAGAGTGGTTACCTCAGCACTCTTGCCGCCCTCTTCCAGCCCACATCCAGCCCTCACATGCCCCTCTATACTTCCTGGGCTGAGAGTGTGGAAAACCCAGAGCAATGAAGGGATGGATTGTGCCGTGAATGGCTAACGCTGTGTAATCTTCACCTTTCCTGGCTCGTCTCCACCGGTGTTTTATTTCAATAACAGCCTTGCAAGATCAGATAAAGCAGATGATGCGGCAATTTGACATGACCATTCCCCCCAACCTATGCGATCTACTTCATCTTGCCCGCTTTCTTTTCTCATGCTGGGTTCCAGGGAAGACAACTGAAGAGCAAATGATAGAGAAAACAATCACACATGACTTTAGTTTGAGGGACATTTGTTTAAAAGGTTTTTGTGGCGTGTATGCGGACGGATGTTTTAAGCAATTTTGAAGTACAGCAATTACGTTTAGAAGTGTAGTCATTGGGTCGGTAATCATTCATGCTTTCATTAGCGGCAAACCACACAGACATGTTTCACAACCTGAGAAGCTGTTTGTAGGGAGACCTGAGGTGAGGAGGTGAAAGGTAAACAGAAACTATGCAGGGATGTAGGGAGATGGGTGGCGAGGAGGACCAATAGTGTGTTCACATGCCACAGTGATCTGATTAAAACCTCCACAGCCAGAGCAAATAATCCCCTTCCTTATTGCCTGACTGTGGAGGACTCCCTGACAACCAGGCAGTAAACACTGGCCATCTCTAAGGATGTCTTCATTGTGTAGTCGGGGCTGGGCCTTCACAGCCACTGAAGTTTCACCTAGCATCACAACAGTGGCAGAGTTTTACACACATGTAGAAACTCACTGGTTTTGTACTGACGGTGGTGTGAGATGTATTACAAAATAAAAGAGTCGAAGGTGTCAGCTTTATCATTATATACAATAGTAATATTTCGGCTTAAATGTTCCAAAGGACTCAGCTAATGTTCTGTATATTTGAGTACGAACCTTCCAAGCAAATGCTAAAAAAAATGTGATTTTCCTCACGGCAAAGGGCATCTGGAGTCACTCTTGTTTTCATGGAATCACCTCAAACATCCATATTCAATCTATCAGAGCCGACAGGATCACAGGCACGGGTTCTCCTTTTGGTTAGACAATCGGATATCTGCGCCTTGGTGGTTAACCAGGATATCCTGGATTCTGTTATTTCAAAATTAAAAATGATGCTGCTGCTCACCTCAAGCCAAGCAAAGCCAAGACCATTTTCTCGCCCTGGGAGCGAGCAGCCACGATGGCAGCAGCTAGGCTTTGATTTCCTTTGGCGTGTACATGGTGGGCGTCGCTGGGAATTATGGGCTGCGTGTGCAGTACACTAGGTGACTCTGGGCGTTTTACATCTTCTTCTCATCTGGACATTACTATCTTTGTCAAACATCTATGTCTACACACCCACACGGGTCAGACACGTCTTCATAATTCACTTACTGATCAGTTTGGACACACCCTAAATTTGAGCTCTGTATGTATTCTGATGAGCGGCTGTCATCTCTTTTCTTTCTCATAGAGGATAATTAAGGTCTAGTATGAATGTAACTCTGGCTTATATAACATGTACACTTGAGACCAGATACTCGAGAGGAACTCTCTAAATAGTTTTCACTGTGATTCCCCCTCCCACAGGGTATCCATTTAGTGGTCTAAAAGAATTTAAAGAAATATGTGACAGTTCACCCCATGGGCAGAGGTTAGTGTTCACAACGTAGTGTGTACTCACAACGTTCCTAAAGCCATGATCACCTCAAGACTGGTGAATCATCTTTCCTGTAGTACCTCCATTTGGACGGTTTCCATAGAAGCCTCTCTAAACAAGCAAATATAGCCGACGTTCACTGTGCTGCGGGTTTTCGGACTTCACTTTTCTGCCTACTTGTCACCGTTAAACAAGACATCAAGCTCATCTTTCACCTACTCCGTCTTTCAAATCTTTTTTTTTTTTTTCTCCTCTTTGTTCATCAATTGTGCGGTCTGTTAGGGCAGGTTAAAAGCTTTTGATGGAGTCATCTTACAGCAACTTTTATCGCTTCCTCCCCAGTGACTCCACTGAAACGGCATGCCCACATGAAAAAAAGAGGAAAAAAAGCTGTCATGTTCTGTTCACAGCCAGCATGAAAGGCTTCTTTTTTCAAGTGTAGAATTACTGCTGTTGCCAGTGTTGATGGTCCAGCCCAGGTGACGTCACTGACTTGACAGGAAAGCACACATCAGATTGCAGCCGTTATTTTTCCAGGGGGAAATTGTGACATTTTGGCCCCTGTAATCAAGATACTGCACTATCCTGCTTTGTACTGCATATATATCCTTGTTGAGCTGGAGAGATTGTCTATGAGTGTTCAAAGGACTCTGTTTTTAGCAGTTTTGTTGAGTCACCTGTGTCGCTTTCTGAGCTTACAGCCACGCTGAGTCTGTACTTAGGCACTGTGATGCTTTGAGCTACATGTTAACATCAGCATGTTAGCATGCTCACAATGAGGCATGTTAGTATTTGCTAATTGGCACACAAAGCACAACTGAGGCTGATGTGAATGTCGTTAGTTTTGTAGTCATGTGGTCAAAACGTTTTGTACAAATTGAAAAATTGTATTTGATGAGAGAGCTACCATGAATATCTGCAGAAAAGTGCATGGTAATATATAATAGTTTTTGAGATATTTCAGTTTGGACCAAGGTGAACCAACAGACTGATCAACAATGCCATTGCTAGAGCCATCTTGGCTAGAAAGTATACAACTCCTTGACTAAATAAAAGTTTTCTTCCTTCTGAGAACGTCAAGCTTTTGTTTTCTTTTTTGCGTGTCGCTGCTCTTCTTCAACAATATGGCCAACGGCATTCTTTCTCTGAGTTCAAAAACTTTGCAGGGTTGAAATACTGCCCTGCAAAACACTGTAGTGGCCTTCAGCACAGCCAGCTCACTGACCTGTCACCATTCCACTCGTGTTTGAGCGCATGATTTGGCCTCTTTCAGAGAAAAGCTTGTGTTTTTCTCTTTCACATATACTGGGAAATTTGCTCTGACAAGGTTAATTAAATAAAGAAATCTGGCCACAGCAAACTGTAACCCAAGTGATCTGCTTCATGCTGCATGCTGTAGATATCCTCCAAGTTTTTTAACAAACACTTTTACTGACATGCCAGCGAGAAGAATACATGACATTCAGATGGCTTTCTTCACAGGATTAGCAGAAGCCCACACACGTCACAGCCTTTTGTCTTAAAGGTTAAGACAACTTTCAGCTGTGTGACAGGGAATACAGCTCAACCTCTTACCACAGCTGACTCACTACTGGCCCGGCCAGGTGCGAAACAGACAACTGTGCGATTCCACACACATTCTCCCACACACTCACACACATATGCAAATGCTCTTAAATGCACAGACACACGCCATGCCCAAATGAGCAGATGCATGCATGTGCAGACGCAGCACCTCATTGCCTCTGACCTGCAAACAGAGATACCGCGTGTGTGTGTGTTTACTCCCACTTTCCCCACTTGGCCTTCCTCTTCATGCCACATAACTATTGTCCTCCTCCCTTTCGCTCTGCTGATTGACTTCCTCTTCCTCTGAGTTGTCGCAAATGTCACCTTCCCTGCTGGCGCCCACACATGTTATCAACAGCTTCTCATCCGGGTTTCAAAAATACAGGAAGTTCCCCGGGGGGTCTCCTGCGTGGAATATGTATTGACGTAGAAAAGAAATGTCCATCTCTCCCTGTCTCGCTCTCACATGTAACCCATGTTACATACTGACACACAGTGCATGCCACGGGCAAATTACCTCATATTGTTCGAAGATAATACCAGTAACTTTTGTGAACTGGAGATAATATCTGCTCAGCATGTTCACACCTCCCTATTCAGCACCAACATAGACTCGAGCTTTGCCATAAATTGAACGACAAACTGGCAGATCAGATTACGCTGATGAATAAAAGCTTCCAAGCAGTGAAAATGAAAGTGCTGTAATTCCCAAGAAAATTGTTTTATGGCAGTTAATCAATGGAAAGCAGAAAGAGGAGAGTCTTTCTTCACAGACCCTTGCTGCAGTTCAGTCATGGACACTCTGTACTGCAATCTTTGGTCACACCAGTTTGCTTTTTTTGTATGGGATAAAGCTCATTAATCCACACTGGCAATGGCTTACTTATGTAAGAAAAAAAAGGGGGGCTTCCTCTGGACTGCAGCTACCAAGAGATGGAATGAAAATCCTGCAATGGTCGTCTAATCCCAAACTTCCCAGTAAAAACATTCCACTTCCTCCCAGGCAAGATCCGGACTTGTTCCTATGCAGAGCTGAGGCAGGCGGGGGTGGGCTGCTTCGGCCGGGGGACAAGCTGGAGACAGACAGGGTCAGACAGATGGGAGGAGAGGTCAGGTGCAATTTACAGGCCTTGGGGGAGACCACTGACATGTGGCTGCACTGTTCTACCACAGATAGATAGATAGAGAGATATAAACTTTATTCATCCCCAGGGGGAAATTAGTTAAACTACCATGAACATGAAGACGTATGAACAGATTAATTCCGTTTATGTCAGCAAAAGAACCGAGGACCTTATTGTGCTATAACTCAAGATGACATTTTGAGTAACAAATCATCAGACAGAGGCGTCATACATTTCTTAAAGCACTGCAAACAACAGGCAGCAGTATTCAAGGGTCAATTAGCACTACACACAAAGTACAGCGGAGGCTGATGGGATTGTCATTAGTTTTGCAGGGATTTGGTCATAATTCAATTTCAATTCAATTCTACTTTTTTTGTACAGCCCAAAATGACAGATCACAAATTTGCCTCAGAAGGCTTTACAATCTGCTCAACGAACGACGTCCTCTGTCCTTGGACCGTCGAATCGGGTAACGATAACAAAAGTATTGGACATAATAAAACGTTGACCCGCTGATGGTACAATTCATCCTGCGGGGGGACATGAATGTTAATACTGAATTTCATGGCAATCCGTCCAACAGTTCTTGAGATATTTAAATTTTGGACCGGCTGACATCTCCATCCATGACTAAAAAGCAATGTTCTGGTTTGGTTGCCTTGGAAACTAAGATCATTATGGATATAACCTAATGGTGTAATTGCGTTAGGCCAATATCTTACCATGAATTAAACAGAAATATGGGTTGACACCACAGTCAATATGTAGCTGTTCAGATGGGTGGAAAAGCTCCACGCGCTGGTTTAACCGGTTCATGCGAGACCACATTCAGACCTCGTGTCCCCTCCTGAGATCGGCCCTTTGCTGCCCACACAGCGCGAGCCTACTTTGCTCGTCTCCGTTCCCAAGGCATCCTGTCCTGAAACACTGTATTCATAAAAGAAACTATTACAATTTGTTCTGCCAAAACACGTTCACCTAAGCCAGAAACAACCGAATTTAGATTTAAGACGTTGTACTTTCTGCCATGTAATTTACAAAAGTGGGGAAGCCAATATTGTTAGTTTCCGCAGTGGGCTTAATGCAAAACATATAAATAGATGCTTGCCAAATGCACATGTTCATGGATAAAATTAGTTTCTGGGAACTAAAATATTTTTCATTGCAAAAATCAGGAAATCTCCAAAATATTGTTCCAGCTCCGGGAACCTCTTATGTGGTGTCGTCTGGATCACTACTGTGGAGTGCAAATATACAGTAGTTGAGCGAAAAGGTCTGCTGCTGTATAATCAAATAACTGAGCTTGTTTTAAATAATCTGAGAGGGCCTTTGTGCTCAGATATTTATATTAATCAGTATATGCAGAGCTGACATGCAGGAACAAGGCAGACAAGTCTGGTAGAGAAATGTTCAGGACTGAAAGATCCTGAAGATTTCAACCTCAGCTGCGTCACGCTTCAGTGATTTTGTACAATTTTCAACCAAGTGGCACCTTGGCAGGTTTCTTTTAGTACATTTCCAGGAGTTTCATTTCCAGGAATTTCATTTTGTCTCCGCACATCTTCTTCCTATCGTCCACCACACGCTGCTGGTTCTTGCTCTCGATTGAATGAAATAGTTTTCCAAAAATACTTAAGTAATGATTCTCGTCTGTGTCAGGACAGTGTGTCTCGCTAGATTCTAATTCAACAACTTTAAATAAGCTTGACTGTGAAAATAAGTTGACAAATTACAGTGTTTTTTCTCCTTTTCGTATTCGGAGATGTATGTTTAAATCAGCAGCGCATGTAGCAACAGAAGTGAGAGAGTGAAGAGTGCACACACACACACACACACACACACACACACACACACACACAGAAAGTAAATCCTCCACAGCAGGAGCCGAATGTTCACTTTTCAGCACCAGTCGCTAAGCAAGAGAGGTCTATAAAAACGTTATTACCCTGAACAGACTGTGGTAACACCGCAGGGCCATGTGACCTGTTCAGCACATCCGAATCTTCAAGATTACTCTAAAAATAAAATTGATATGATGTAACCTGTGACAGTACGAATCACATTTGCAAATATTGAAAAACTAAGAGCGATGAAGTAGAGAATGGATATTATACTGACGTTGTGAGGCCTGAAGACCTCCCAATAACACATTCACATTAATGTCACTATCGGATCTTTGGCAGAAAACTCCTCGAGTATCTTGCGCTTGGAAATAACACTTTGTAAACCAGTTACTAGCACAAGGTCAACTTACTGGAGATTTTCCGGAGCTTTTCAGCTGCATCTCATGGCCTTAGCTGTCATGAAGATGGTTCAGTTATGAAATTCCAGCAACGCGATGTGACTGAAAGCACATGGACATTTCCAGTAAGTGGAATTTACTTTATTTTGTTGTTATTATTGCATTTTCTTGTATTGCATTTGTCTTTTGCTTTTAAATATAAAGCACATTGAGTTCATTTGTAATGAAATGTGCTTTATAAATTGAACAATCATTTTTGAAAATTAAAAAGACAGAGCTGTCCATGAACATGAGAATAATTTCCTCCAAAATTCACCTGGTATTTTCCTTGAATAAACCCGGCATTACAGCATGTACAGAGGGATAGATTAATGTTCATCCTCGTGAAAGTATTTGTCGAGAGGAGCGACACATAAAAGCACAACAGGACATTGTGTCCCTGTGCGGTCCCAGAATACAACAGTGTGAAAGGCAGATGTACTTTTATTGAGCTGATTATCCCCGAGCACATTGTCCCACTGCGAGGGATGCTTGTGCCTCAGCTCCACTGTAGCAGTACGCTGAGCGATGTTTATGAGGTTCAGTGACTTTTTGTCTCCCTTAGCTCAGCACATACTGTATCGTGTGCTAGTGGAGTGGTGAGCTTGATTCACTTCTTTTGTTCTTCTCTTTCTACATCTGCAGCACAAATGCTGCAAATGTAATCTCTAAACCCCAGAATTTCCACAAAGCACTTAAAAGTCAATAAGATTCAAAATGACTTAATAGATGGGCGTTTTATTTATGAATCGGTAAAAGTCTGGAAAATGTAGCTGTTTCTTCACAACAACAAATGAAATCCGTACCTGTGTGTTTGAAGAGAGTTCTGAGAAATGTTGTGGGAACTCGGGTCGAGGTCCTCTCTGGATAATGGGGCAGGATGCTCTGGCTGTGTAGTCCTTACCTGCTGGCCTGGCACCAAGCAGACCCAGAAGAAATTATCACACGGCAGCTTGAATTAAAGGGTCTCATGCAGACAAGCTTGTTCCATGAACAGAGGACAACAGAGACAGGCATGTTTCACCATGTTCCTGTTGTGTCTGAAGTTTTAGGGTGCATGCTGGATGCCAATTAGAGGCTGT